TTCTCCAAGAGAAATTATCTCTCTCTCGTTTTCTTTCTCGGGTATTTTTAAACATTAATATTGTTGCACGATGCAATATCTTATTTAATTTGCCACCGAGTGGACATTCTAATTATTCGCAACGCGAATTACGTGCGTCTATACATTTCTCATCGTGATATTATGTCAACATTATGTAATGCGTTTCAAAAATAGGATGCATGTGCATGCATGTGCTTATGTTTAAACATTAGTTTCGACAGATGGTTTTTGCGAATACTTCCATGAAGAGTATACTCATGCCGGCACACTTCATTACGTGTCACGGCGAGTCATTTATCTCCTCGCAAGTATCCATATATCGCGACATATTCCGAGATTGCTCGCAGAGTGCTTGATCGCATCTTTCGTGTGTAAAAAAATTAATTTTCCTACGTACGGATTTTAACGTATAGATTAAAAGGAATTTGTGTTTGTTACAATCGTAGAAGAGCGAGGGGACGACCTAAATCACTCGGGAATAAAAAAGTTCGCGTTGTAAAGTGCGTGTAATACAGAACATGTGTGGGAGGATGGACAGTTCTCCAGAAAATAACTGAAAAATGGCTGATGTAAATCCCGCGTTTCATCGCTCAGCAATATTTTTCGACAAAACGCAAACGAATTCCCGTTCATCGAAAAAAATTCGACCATTATTTCTCAAACGCAAAAACCTGATAACATAGCGTAGTATGCTAATCCACCGAAGTCAGAGTGTATTTTTGATACGCATTATCTGCGCGCTGTTACGTCGTAAATGTCTCACTATCAAAATTGCGTTTCTTCGTCACGTAATCTTTACGAAGTTGATATACTATACGATCAGTCACAGGTCCATATACTCGTCTAGCGTTAAACGTAAGAAAAATCGGAGCAAACCGAGAGAACGCGTACACACCATCGCAGGACTGTTTATATTTACGTATAGACGCACAACTTCTTTGAATTTGTTCACGTGCTCGCGGTCTATAGGTCTAAGAAAAATCGAAGGAAACAAAAATGTAAATATGTGCACCTCGCACAAAGATGAATAACAAATTGACAGAGAGTGCCCGAGCCTTTGCCATTGACCAGGAATTTTTTATCTCCTTTATCTCCAATATGCGCGCTTTTTGTCTTGAATATTACGTATCTCGATTACCATATACGCTTTTAAATAAAATCGAAATCACCGCGAGAGAAAAACCGGCGGAACTACTATTTAGTATCAGTTATGAAGAAAAAATACGTATATAAAATAAGTGTTCTCTTTTTTCTCTCTTAAATATATTCCGCGCGATTAATAGAACGGAAAATCCAAGTACGTCTCAGCAGTGACCAGCCAAGGATAAGCCGGCAAGTAGAGTAAAGAGTAAACACCGCCTTGGCTCTTCGTCCTAAGGAAAGAAACGTCCAAGCACGAGGAAAGGAAGGTCGCGCGGCCGCGTCGTAGAGCCAATCTTTCGCGCGCGGTACGCTTGAGCCCTAAGCGGGTAAGTAGGTACGACAACGGAGGAGGAAAGAGTTAGGTAGAGGGTGGGCGCGGATCGATGCATCGGCGGCGCGAATCGGAGTAGCATGCTTCTTCCCGTAAAGCTTGCGCCAGACTATGCACGACTCGTAGCTTTGCTATTCCTGCGAAATTCATACAAATGGGTAAATTCGAGCTCGCAGGCGTTTGTCGCTTACCGATCGTGTCGTGATTCGCCGGCGAAATGGTTTTCAACGAGGTCAAAGGGCGCGAATCGACCGATTCGCGTGTGGCGCTGTTTTAGCGACAAGATTCATATTTACTTTTACGTATAATGAAAAGTCCATTATGGTGATTAAACTATACTCGACTGGAAAATTAGATTAATTATTATGATGGACTTTTTCATTATGCTAATTAATCTAATCAAACTTGCCATGGAATCCGAGAGAATACATGATCGCAAATTATAAATTGCGAATGGTGAAGGGTACATCTACATTGGTAAACGGTGAGTTTCCGGGTTACGGCAAATGTATCGGCAATTTCCCCTGAAATGTTCGGGCAGGTAGCTCCTCCAACGAATTCCCTTAGTCGTCGTCTAAAGAATTTCGAAAAGGAGAATTTTAGTTTTCGCTGGAAAATGACTCGAGCTCTTTTCTCGCTCCGGAAGACCTCCGGAGATCGCTGCGATTAAAGTCCCGGAGATCTTAGCAGTGGGATAGACAAATTGGATAACTTAAGACGAATGACTCGCGTCGAATCTCCTCGAAAAGCTCCGGCTCTTCGCGCGAGATCGGGAGATAGACACTTCCATTACAGTTAAATACGTACGCGACTAAGTCGCGCAAATTCGGAGTCTTTATTCTTCATTTTCGGAAATAGAAAGTTCAGTTGTCGATAACGATCAACGGCTCGAGTGCCTCGCGTCGTTTCTGCAAAAAAAAAGCCTTCAGCTTCGCGCTAGAAATCGGACGAGAGAGACACTTCTATTGTTACGGCTAGAAATTAATTCTGTCAATGTTGATTAAACTCTCGCGTTACGATTTAACTATTTTAACTGATTCTCCGTTCATTCTCTTTCTATCTGAATTGTGCTACCCGCTATAATGTAGACAACGATAGAGATAGACCACCCACTCGACTGCCAATTACTAACCAACGCTGATAAAATCCAGTCTTGCAAATATGTGCAAACAAAGAGCGAGTTTAAACTCCTCACTTATTTTGTGAAAGATAAGTCTTCGATTAGAAACATGCGTATAACAAGTCCTCGTTTCAGAGAATGTGGCTTTCGCGAGTCAAAGTCTGGATTTTAGCACGAATTCGCGTTGCTTCTTCGAGAAGCTTTCATCTCTCGCGAGAAATCAGAGGATACAGTCCTGCGATCAGAAACGTACTCGAACGAATCTTTTATCCAGAGATGAGATGCTCTCGCGAGTTGAAGATTCTCGATAGCGTCAGGTAAATTCAGCTTGATTTGCACATCGAGCAGGAGCTTCGACCATTCGCGCAACTAGACTCTACTGAACTAACATAGGCTGACAAACGCGTTGTCACGATCGGGAAACGTATACGCGAGTCGCGTAATACAGAGTCCTCGTTTCTCGTTCTTACTAGAGACCAGCCAGCGTCCTTGTTTGTTATTCTACAGCCGCGACGCTCATTTTTTTCCCCTTTTTACACGCAGATACGGCGAACGGACACGAAGGGACGAAAGGGGAAAGGAGTTCGGTTTCGTACTTAATTTCATGGGCCGCGAGAACGTCCAGCCTAGAAAGAGATCTCTCGGGACGTCCTGCGTGACCGGGAAGCGACGGATTCGGGGAAGGGAAAAGGTGGGCTTCCGTCGCCCTTCAAAGCCGCGCGATCGCTCATCTTCTCATTTACGATCGCGGATCCACGCGACACGTTCGTGAAATTCTCGTCACGTCGCTCTCGGTTCAGCGAGTCGTCCGTCGTCCCTGCCTTTCCCTCCCCTTTCGAGAACTCTGCTCGTCCTCGGCGGAAGAGAAACGTGCGGACGAGGGACCATCTAGAGACGATGAAGAGGAGGAAGAAGAGGGACCCAACGAATCTTCTCACGATAACGCGATAACGTTATCTCCTCTTTCTTTCTCTCGCTTTCTGTCTCTCTCCTTCTCCCTCCCCGACGACGACTTCTCTCTCGCGCGCGCCGTTGATCGATGACCGGTCACACGCTTCGCGGTTCCCGCGGCGCGGAATCGCCCGCTCCGCGAGGAAAATGTTACGTGAGATTAGCGCGCGACGGCCGCGGGTGAGGGAGACGGAACGGACAGATGGACGAACAGACGAGAGCGAACCGGAAAACGGAGAGAAGGAAATAGGCGGGATACTCACCACCGATGCTCAGCGTTCTCCATCGGGTCTTGCGCTTGGAACCCTTCTTGCCCATTTCTCGCGGTCGCCCGCACCACCACTACCACCACCTCCTCCTCCTCCTCCTCCTTCGTCTGCACTCTGCGCCTCGTCCTGCGCCGCGATGATCTTCCTCGGTCGATCGTTCGTTTCTTCTGCTTCTTCTTCCTCGTTTTTCTCCCTTTTATGACATTGACGACCCTCGGCGAGTGATCGTCATCGCGCGGCGGATCCTCTCGGGCACAGTTCGCGCACTACCTCGTCGGTAGCATCGCGAGAATCGCCGTCGCTCGCTCGCTCGTCGATCGGAGGGGGTCGAAAGGGGGGAAGGGGAGGGTTAAAAGGCTCACGGTCCTACGATTCGATCACTCGCTCGTTTCGTTCGTTCGTTCGTGTTTGTCGTCGCGGACGTGTAACGTAGAACGGCGCGGATACTACTTGCTCCCTTTCTCTCTCTTTTTCTCTCTCGCGAAAAGGCAAGTCTCTCGTTACGCGAACAATTCTAATATGTAATCCACGCCGCTCGAACGGCGACCGCATACTGCGGACCTCACCTCACCCCACTTCACCCCTTCCGACGGTGCTCCACCACCCACCTCGCTCCGTTCTCCCTCTCTCATTCTCTCTTCTTCTCTCTCTTCCTCTCGTCGTGCTCCCTCCTCCGCGCCGAGCCGATAGATTGCTCCGATTGCTCCTCTCGTTCACGTTTATCTGCACCTGGCTGCACCTTCTGCTCTCAAAGCGGGACGGCCGTACGCTCGCGGCGCAGCAAGAGGGAGAGGGAGAGGCGGAAGTGCGCGCGCGCGCGCGCAGAAAGTGCAGATGTTCGTAACCTGTACGCGCCGCCGCAATACCGGTCGTTCCGATTCACGTGGTTCCTCGGTAACTTCCTTTCCTACGAGCTGAGTCGAAGTTGTTCGCTAAGCGCGCCTCGCAGCCGCGTCGTGTCCTCCTCGCGATCCACGTTCGTGCAAAACGTCGCAAGTCTCGAGTTCGAGTACCGAATCGCACTGAATTGCGCCGCGACTTTGCGCGGCCTCAGGAATTCGAACCGCTCTCCGGGCGCTCTCGTCGCGCGCGGCGCGCATGCGCCCCCCGTTGCCGTGGCGACCGGTGTAAACAACCGCACGCCATTTTCTCCGGCTAACGGCAGTGTCGGCACTGTCGGCAGCTGATCTAGCGATTCCCGCGACTTCTCGATGGAGATTCTCGTCGTCGTCGAGTCTCACGTGGTTTCACGTCTCGAGATCGTTTAATCGGGAATATCAAAACGCGCCGTTTTACACGCGTGTCCGAAAAAGTATAACTTAAATAACTGAATTAAACGAATTCTGTGTCGCGCAGTTCAAACTTGTGCATTGTTTCCAAGAAAAATAAAATAAAAACTGATGAGTGCAGCTTAGCGCCAATTGTGTGTAACGATATTGAATTTACCTTTCCCTTTTTCTTTAATCGCTCAATACGAATATGTAATTTATTGAAGCCAAACATGACATTAAAATTAAAATCTAACGTTAGCTGTGAAGTGATAATAATCAATATCGGATTTAGCGAAATAAATTTACGTTAATTAATTCAGTTAATGCTCTTTCGCTCGCGAAAGGTCTTTGTGTCTGAAAGAAAGAAATTTTTCACGCGAACAGAGATATGTTGGAGTTAATAGAGTCCTCGTCTGAGTCTTAATCAAACGGAGCCGGCGCGATCGAAGATAGGTTATGTGCGCCATGCGAAGTTAAAGAAATATTTCAAGTTACGTTTAAAGCGCGCGATAATATAAACCCCTTCATTTACGTAACAATACGTTTATGTAATTAATTGGGAAACGTAGTTAATCGTAAATAATCGTAACGTTGTTTTGCGCGCAGGTTGAACGTACAGGTTAGGTCGCGACAGCGGCTGACGGCAGAGGAAGGATGCTCCGGATCTTATCGCTCCACGACTTCGAGAGTCCCGCCTTCGGCGAGGCGGCCATCATCGGCCTGATCGAGGGCGTCATCCATTACTGCGCCTACGATGCCCTGCAGGACGAGATGCAGCCCTTCGCCAAGTACCTGCGTGACTACCCCGAGGTGTCCGTCACGCAGGAGATCCTCGCGACCCGCGAGACCGCGCGCACGATCAGCGCCGGGGAACTGTTCCTCCCCGTTCACGACAGCGTCTTCAAAAAGATCGTCAATGTATGGAGAGAGAGAGGGTTGTCCGAGGCGATCCGCTTTGCCGCAGCCACAGATCCAGAACAGATTACGAACGTTGTGCACTGGATCGCGACGAGGTATGGCATTTCCGTATCTTTATCGTGTTCTTCGCGGGATTTAATGCATCTGCGTGTCGATAACGGAAAGTATATGACGATTTCAGGCTGAATCGAGTATTGGATTTGATGGACAGAGGAATATATCACAGAGATGTGTTGCCGATGTCGGGAAATGGATCTGTTACCGATATCGTTGCTACACGGGACTGGAATACATCGCTGGTAGGATCATTTAGTATTCAGGAATCTCTACAGGCACGTTCGAAACGTTTATAAGTATTCTGAGTATTTATTATAGGTAAGGTGTCTGTCCTGGCATCCGCACTGCACTCGCCTGGCTGTGGCCATGAGGGACGATAGAATTCGTATTTTCTCGCAAGGTCTACTGGGGGTACCGGTATTGAGGCACAGTGCGCAAAAGTCAGTTTGCTGTTTGAGTTGGAGACCGCACGCCGGTCGCGAATTAGCGGTTGCTTGCTATTCCGGAGTATTAATTTGGACAATAGAGTTGGGAGCAGCTAGTAATTTACTCAGCCACGCGATACTTTTGAAGCAAAGAAATCATGTACCCGTTACAAACGTCGTATGGCATCCACAAGTAATATATCATTTTATTTCTGTCAATATGCATTAAATATAATAGGAATTACACTCACAGATAGTGTTATAATGTAAAGTTTTTTTCCAGGGTGATTTGTTGGCATCTTGCTCACCGACGGATTCAAATATAATGATTTGGAATGTTTCTAAAGAAGAAGGGGTTCCTCTGAAACGCGTCGGTGGAGGTGGCATATGCTTTACATGTTGGTCGCCTTGTGGCTTGCGATTATTTTCTGCTTCATGCAGAAATATTTTTAGGTAATATCTTTACATAAATAGGTAACAGAAAACTCAATTAAATGTGTAGTTAAAACAGGATATTTAATTTTAGAGTTTGGAATACTGGCGTTCCAACGCCATGGCATACAGAAAAGTGGACTGTACCCCAAGGTCGTGTAGCAACTGCATGCTTTGGTCCCAACTTAACGCTGCTCTTCGCCACAACCGGAGATCCTGCTACGATATTCTCGTTGCCGTTGCAAGATACTATATTTGACGTTAAAAAGGCTACCAATAACGATGTAAAGATAGCTATGCGTCTAATCGATTTAACGAAAGTAAATTTTTCATCGGATGATAATGATGATTATATCACGGTGGGCGGGAAAATAGTTTCTATGGAATGGGATCCAACAGGAAAATATCTTGCCATTCTTTTCCAGGTTTGTAAAAAAATATATGAATTTAGCTGCACTCTTTTATCCACTTTTCGTTTATAAAATGGAATAGATGTACGTACTAACTTTGAAGAAAGAGAAATGAATCATAGGATCTCTGGTGCTAATTTGTTTTTTCTTCTCGATAACAGGACAGTCCAGTTATTGCTCTAGTGAAAACGAACTTGAGTCGTTTATCGCGGATAGTGGAAGTGCAGCCGAGCTGTCTTATCAAAGGATTTCCCGGAGAAGTGCCGAACTGCATTAACTTCTATCAAAAACGTACGTCGTGGATTTGTTTAACAATAGCTTGGAGCAGTGGACGCGTGCAGCATTTTCCGATTGTGGAAAATGAATCTAGAGTTGATACTAGCACATATTCCACGCTATTACCTCAATTTGTGAGACCGAATGGATCGTACAGCTTTGACGTCCGCGGTTACAGGCAATATTAAGTTATTATAATATAATACAGTAGCAATAAGACAATAAGATAATAATAAGACATTTTTCTATTTTTATTCGTAAATGATAATATAATAATGAAATAATGAACTAATAAACTCATTTGCAAGATAATACCTCATTAATTAACTGCATTTGCGTCGCAGGCAATATAAAACTTCTCTAGACATATGTATGTATGCGTATATAGAGCTTACGCAATTCTCGTTTGAGGGAACTTTATACCCGTTTTACCGTCTTCGAGAGAAAGAAGAGAAAAAAATGAGTGGCCCGTCGTTAGACTCTCTAATGGACTGCGCTTGTAGCGTATGGAGGAGCATAGAACACAACGCGTTCTCTTCAGTGCCTAATTATACGAAGTCACATGCAGAGCGCGCGTCTTTCTATTTTTACGTCGCTTGACCGAATGCTAAACGGTTTGTCGGCACGTTGTGTATGTATGTATGTACGTGACCCACGCTATTTTCAATACTCCGCGTATGTGAATGTGAATGACCGAGCGTGTCTCGAGTACCTAAATCGAATTGATTTAATCCGAACAATTTTTTCTTCATTTTGCCTTTTTCCTTTTTTATAAAGAAAAATGAAGAGAGTTAATTTCACGCACAGTACCCGTTGTTAAATCATCAAGCTTTGAGAATCCAATCTGAGTGAAAAATAAGCGCGCCGTTAACGTATCGCGGATCGTCAATATCGGCTAAAACGTAAGCTTAACGCATATTTTCTGATGTTTATTCATTCTTATCGGTCTTGATATGATCGCTTTTTGGAGATTACGCGTGCGGGGACGCGGGTGGACGGTTGTTTTTATGCGGGGCGCGATTAAACGCGCTCAGGATGATTTTTCTCTTCTTTTTCCACTCGTTTCGCTGTTATTGCATCCGTATGGAGGGATGAGAACATGATCGGTGTCCTTTTTACGGTATATTTATTTTGAGGGCGGTCTCTCTCTCTCTCTCTTTTTCTCGGGGTCGCGTACGCACATGCGGCGACTATGGTACGAGCGAAGCTGACAGGTGCCCGAGCAAAAAAGTTAGGACCGCGAGCGGTTATAGTGTGCATGTAATGTAAGCACAGAGGGCTGGCAGACCACATGTGCCACTCTATCACTTATCTACCCGTAATATGACGTACTAACTTGCCCAGAGAGATGCACCAGGACGCGTACATGCGCATACTCGCATACGCGCGCTCATAATTTTCCGCGGAAGGGAGAAACACCGAGATGAAAACGGAGCTCCGAATCCCGTCCACATATTATACATATAGGAAAAAAAAGAAAAACACAAAATGACATATTGTAACACACTGAAGAGGAGCGTGAGATTTAACGAAAAATTTGAAACGAAAATATTCCATTTTGGTTGTATGTACACCAAAACCGGATTTCTCCTTTAGGATTTCGTACTCAGTTTAAATGTCATCGACCTGCTAACGGCTGCGAGGTCACCGCCCTGTGTGTCGTTGAAGCAACGATTGTCACTTCGGGTTCGGGGATGTTTTCTTAAGGATAGGGTTGGCTGACAGGTGAATCGTGAATCGTGATTCGAACGAGAGAAAGAAACGGCGCGGCCGACCGAGTTTTCGGTCTTCGCGATCATTCTCTTCGCGCGAATCGCGAAGAATCGAGACGATCGCGACGAGGTGAGAAGAACGAGCGAGGGTGGTCTGGTAAGATAGACGAGCGAGGAGTGAACGACTTGTCCTCATGTGGCACGCCTATGGAAGCATGTTGTTAATAAGTGACGCGTGTGTGGCAGCTGGTCTTACATTTTTTGCCCCCGCACCCGATTCTTAGGGGCTCGAGCGACGAAAGATCGTCTCGAGCGCGCTCCCCCTCTTTCATTCTTTCCCTTCTTTTCCCTTTCGCTCGTTGCGTCCTCCTTCGTTTCTCCCTCGCTTACGCGCCGTCTTGGATACTTTTTCAAACAATTTTCGACGCGATGAATCACGTGTATCAACTCGACGCTAGCAACCCACGATCGAAAATTAATTCTTTGCGGTCCTATGTCAAAGACCTGACAATTCTACCCCGAATTCCGACTCGAATTACAGGTTGCTAAAAAATGATAATAGTTATCAGAAAAATTGTGAAAAATAATTTTACTTTACGTAGCCGCCAGTCTTTTTGTTAACCTAGTATATCATGAACACATCATATACACATGATATACTAGGAAGATGTTTTGCAACCTGTCTCTTCCATTGGGTCTCTCAGAATAGAATTCCGTTTCTACCATGTATTTTAACATATCGCTCATCTACAACAATGAATTGCCATTTAAATTTATTTTCTGGAAAACTTTGTTTTTCAAGCTATGTTGTTATTGCAGCAAATAAGCGATATGTATGCGTTTCTCAATGTATCTTTTATGTATGTGCGCATTCTAATTCTTCCAATGTATTACGCGACACATAAAACCGTGAGCGAAATCCTAAACTCTGGCGCGAATTATAGAATCCTTTAAAACGGGCCCTAGGCATCATGGGGGCGAAATCATGAATGGTTCGTGCGTGGAAGGACCGCCGACGACGTGAGGTCGCCGAACGCGCGTATTTACGCGCCTCGGCAGATGTTCGGTCGCAACCCGCGACCCCCGGGGGTCCCCGCGAAGGGAAAACCGCGCGTACCCCAGCGACAAGTGCAGCGGCGGGTTGCGGCCGTGTACCGCGAAGAAGAAGCGCATCAGGAGGGGGCTCTCGGCTGCCGCGATGCAGCCACGCGAGTGGGCGGCGCGATGTTCCCTTCTCGCCCTCCGTTTTCCAAGAAGAGGAGCATTCGATCTCGAAGGGCCACGCTCTTCATTAGAGGAGGAGGAGGTGGTGGAGGGTGGGAGATCCCTTGATCTCCTCTCTCAACTTTCTGAGAGATTCCTCCGACGGAGGAGAGAGGATTGTCTCGCAGCTGATAGTCTTCGACGAGACGCGTTAACGGGTGGTGCGAAAGCGCCGGACCCCCCGATTTCCCGCTTTATCAGTTCCGCGAGAAGAAACCGGTGCTGTCCTCGTTCGTTCGCTGTATACGGTCCTCATTTCTCGCGATCGTTATCGCGCGCGTGCCACGCAAGGAAGACAGATAGAGAGGGTGGGAGAGAAGGCTCTCGAGCGGAAAAGGCCGGCGCGATAAGCGGCCCGCCGATCATCGTGTACATGTTGATACGTTGATATCGAAGTAAGCCGTTTCTCTGACGTTATTCTCGAATTTCGCGCTATCTCCGCCTCCCGGAGAAAGTGAGGCGCAATTGGACGTCTCCCTGTACTCGCGAAGATAGTTCAAGTTTAAAGGGACGTGCTATCCGCTAAATCGAAAAATCCGGCGGTGACTGCGACACGCAGTCTGGATTTCTGAAAAAAAAAAGTCAGAGATTTCGTTATTGTGCTCCTACATGATCGCGCCTCATTTCCTTCTGGTGATTACACTGGATTGAAGGGTGGTCCTCTTCGAGAGAGTTAATTTTCTAGAGATCGCGATCGAGACAAGCAGGTGAGACGTCATTTCAACTTGTGCGGCTGTCCGAAAGCGAATCGAGCACGTCACTTCTGTCAGTCGTGATCGCGAGAGGTGCTCCTCGCAACTATAGAGACGATCGCAATCGCGATTTTAGAGCCGCGATATAACGTACAAAAGCTGTACGTAAGTACTGAAAGTCCCATTTACGGATTTAGCCAAAGCCAGATCTGGTACCGATCTCGTTTTACTTTTTTATTTTTTGGTATCCCATATAATGCGCATGACATTAATTATTATCTGACGCATTGATCAACCGAACGTACGTTTTCCGTTTCAATCTATTTTTCACCATTAAGTCACATGGGTCTATCGAGAATTATATAAATGCGCGCATGATTGATTATCAAATTAGATCGTGACGCATGGAAAGAATCGCGTGACTATTCGCTTCGCGGAAGTAAGTCGGATGTCGGATGAATCTTTGGCGAGGTCCATGATATTTTTAGGGTAACCCTGATGAGGGTGAACCGAATAACGGGGGAACATCGACACGCGCAGAACCGTTCGACAAATTCCAACGACGCGATCGTCGGTGGCGATCGTCGCGAATTCGTTCCATCATTGTTATCCGCTGATATTTCCGCAGGCTCTGCCGCGTTATCTCGCGTCTTACGCGATGACGAGGGAGAGCCACGTGATAATAACGCGATCGGGCACAAAGTGCACGGTGTCGGATAAGGCGCTGCAAAGCGCGTCTCGCGGCTCGCTTTCTCAATTCTCGCGAGCGTCGCGCGGCGTTACAAAATCCGTGGGTTTCGCAACCTTCCGATCGGCGTGCTGCAACTAACGCACATATCGGTATGATTGACGGCAGGCTGCCGGCGGCTACGAGCTCGGATCGACGAGGAGGACGACGACGACGACGGAAGAAGAGGAGGCGGAGGAGGAAGAGGAGATGCACCTCGAGGATTACCACGGCGAGAGGAGCGAGGAGGACGTGCGACGGCCCGTGTCCGTTCTGGAGCAAGACGACTTCGTCGACGACGGTTCCCTGCCCGATCTGATGTCCATGACGATGGCCGGCATGGACGTCGACGTCGCCCAGTGCTGGACGACCTCGCAAGCGGACAACGTCTTCTTCTCGCCGCTGGAAACCGACGCGGACCCGCGAGATTATCTCGACTGGGACCAGGTGCCCGTGGTCTTTCAGTATCCCTCCAACGGTGGTGGATCACCGGGTGGTAGCACTTCCAGCGAAGCAACAACGCCGATCTGGAGCAACGCGGCGACAGCGACGACGACGACGACGACGACGACGGATCATGACGAGGACAAATCGGACCGGAAGTTACCCTCAATGGGCTCGGCTTTCCCCTTCTCGCGCACATTCTGCAACACGATCTATCCGGAATTTGGAGCGGAGTCGCAGGGTGATTATCAGGATTATCCGGACTGCCAGGAGGACGTGGTGTCGTTGCTGATGAGCATTCAGAACGACGTGGCGGCTCAGAGCTACAACCCTCCAGTCGCCGACGAATTCGACCTCAGTCTGATTAGGGGCGACCCGACGTCGTTGCTGAGCACCGTGGACTCGTCGTCCGCGAACTGTTTCGCGAGCGACGATCAGCAGGAACCGTCCCAGAGCTTCAATCCGCCGTACTACGCGGTCGGGCATCTCGTCTCCTCCCAGCAGCAGCCATCGACGATCAATCTCGCTGGTGAGCTTGTCGGCGCGATGGACAGTTTCGGTAATCAGGTGATACTACCGCGGAACGAGGGTCTGCTGCTCGGGAATGATCGACGTGTCGCCGGGTCGAAGGTCGCTGAAACCGAGAAGAACGACAAGTCTTACGGTAAGCGCCATTGTCCTCGTTTATTTTAGAGAAACTGAATCTTTCACGCTCTCATTTCGCCAGAATTTACCCGCGAGTTCTATCAGATTGACGAAAAGAGCCTGCTCCGGCTAAATCAAAACGAGAATTCTCAGCATTTTTAGAATATTGGACCGAAGAGTCCAGGTCGCTCCGAGTATTTCCGGCATCCGAAAGAAAGTATAATGAGCTTCCAACATTTTCAGCGTCGTTAGATATGCCACGCGATATCCGGATATGCGGGATATGTGTGGCAATCTCCGCGCACGCACGCAATTTCTGTTCCAGTTGCGCGTGTTTACGTTTCGCGTGCGTACGTCACGTTGCAGATTGCGCGAGACCGGTGGACGATAGCCTCGCGTCGGCTTATCAGTGCCGCTGGATCGACTGCGGCTGTGCGTTCGCGGAGCAGGAGGGCCTGGTGCGGCACATCGAGAGGCGGCACGTGGAGTCGTCCTCGGCGAGCGCGCACGGCCACGGCAGGCGGATTCAGCGGGACCGGGACAAGGAGCGAGACGACAAGGAGACGGGAGAGAGCTTCTCCGTCGCGACGCCGGCGACGACGACGGGCCGCGAGGACGAGTTCGCCTGCCTGTGGCAAGGATGTCCGCGCGCCCGGCCGTTCAACGCGAGATACAAGTTGCTGATCCACATGCGAGTGCACACCCAAGAAAAGCCGAACAAATGTCCGGTTAGTGTTCTCGTTCGTCCCTTCTCGGCGATTTCCAACTCCAGCGTGACTCCAATAACGCGCCTTACGGTCCTTCAGTAACCCTTTTCATTATCTCATTGGTCGTTTCATCAAGTCGTATGTAAATATACTAAAAAAAGAAAATTCCTTTAATGGTGGAGATTCTTTGATCATTTGTGTTTTTGGTTTTATCATTTTTATTATAATTTTCTTGTCAGTCCCAAATACATCGCGTTTTTGCATTAAGCAAATAGATTCTCATAAGCAATTTAATTGAAAATTTTACGGACTGATTCTGTTTGTTCTATAATTGCACAAGTCATATCGATATCGTTGTTTTCTATATATTCATCAAGCTTTGTTTTCTACAAAATTGTCCGCTAGCAAAATTAATTTCTTACTGTTGATGTTTATTTCAGTTTGCCGGCTGTAAGAAGGCATTCAGTCGATTAGAAAACTTGAAGATACATCAGAGATCGCACACGGGCGAAAGGCCTTATGCGTGTCAACACAATGGATGTTCAAAGGCGTTTAGCAACAGCAGCGATCGAGCAAAACATCAGAGAACACACTATGACAGAGTAGGGTGTCTTTCTTATTTCTCACACATTTAATAAATACGTAATTGACAATTTAAGTTTCTTTTTTATATTTCTTATTAGCAGCTAATCTTTTTGGTTTAATATGATCTTATTCGATATGCTGTACCGATATAAATTGTTATGGGACGTATTACGGCTTATTAATATCCTGCAAAAATTAATATAAGCTTTATAGTATTATTATTTATAGTATAAAGCTTTATGGTATAAGCTTTGTATCTTTGATTTATAATCTTCGATAAAAAAATAATTTTGATGGTAAATTTTTTTTTTTCTAGAAACCATACGCTTGCCAGGTAATCGGCTGCGGCAAACGTTACACCGATCCATCGAGTCTTAGAAAGCACCTGAAAAATCATACGGAAAATTCAAGTACGTTGTCCAGTCTGTTATCGTCGGATAAGATTTCAACGAATAATGTGACAGCAATAGGACACAAGTTAAACTCGACAATTCCTCAGCGAGGAAGCCATGACGCGTGCATTTTTGACGTGGAAACGAATCATTCGTATAAATTGTCTAAAACTTATGTCAAAGAAGAGAACACATCGCCGAACAATACGTGCCAGCTGAATAGAATCTCCCTGAATTTTGACGGCAATCAGCAGGAATACGTGCCGATCGAATCGGTTCGTCATCTTCTGATCAACGACCTCACCAACGCACAGGACGAGAATACAGGTAATGGATATATTCAATCAATCCAACTGTTAGAGAGTGTTATATATTTCAAGTCTTTGGTACCATGAAGTCACGAAGCTCGTCAGAATTTGAAGGAAAACGATTTTAATAAGTGAATACTTATTAGAATAATTTTAATTATTTTATTTTGTATGTATAATATTCTATTTCCTATTAATAGTTGTGCAGAATATTTCAAAAAGATCTCATGGTATTAATTGCAAATTACATTTCGAGCATCTTCTCGGATCGATTGAAGGTCTCGCTTATCGTCGTGACGACGTGTGGCTTTCATATTCAGCATGATCTATATTTTTTCAGTCGACATTTTCAATGTAGGAAAATCTGACCGAGATGCGATAAGAACCACTAGAACTTACTACTTATTACTACTTACATTATAGTGTTTCTAACATATGCGCGCAAGATACGGTGTGACCTTTAACTTTTATTGGTAATCGAGTAAGACTTTGTTTTTCAGTTTACGAGATGTATGACAGTTTCTCTTTGCATAAATAGCATTTGCGAAATAGACCAATGGAATTATTTAAATCAATATCTAGTCTTGATAATTGAAGAAAGAATGTATCCCGAGAAATCTTCTCTTAGCTGTGTTTTCTGATCTTCTATTATATAATTTCTTAGAAAAAGAGGATCATATCTATTTCTCGAAGAAATATAGGTAGCATCTTTCACAAATATATTTGACGTGATGCGAGATGCTATTGTTTCCTTGATTCTCTTTCTTGAGTTCTATTATATTTCTAGAGGTAGGGTGCAATTCCGCAAAGATCATAAACCATCGGTTGTACATGCGTGCGTGCGTGCGTGCATCTCGCGGGCGCGTGCTGGCTTTTTCTGTCGCGGCTCGCGTATCGCGCCGATGACAGTGTTCGCGCCTGGCCGTCTATAGCTGATCTCAGAGGAGGTTCGCCGCCCGCTCCTTTATGCCTTTACCCCATACCGAGTCTTAAAATAATATTCCTTACTTTTTTGGGAGGGAAAGGAGGGCCGTACGGCGTACGCCGCGTACGAAGGACGCGCGAACGGGTGAAGTCGCGTACGCGTGACAAAACAGATGACAAAACAGATTGCCACGTGCCACGCACCCGTGCTATTTCCAAAGGAGCCCTCGCGTAAATGTAATTTCGTGAAAGTATATAAAAACGTGCGCGCGAGATGAAGCGCGTGAAAGAGAGAGGGAGAGTGAGAGAAAGCGAGAATGAGAACGAAGCACCGTGACCATCGTTATTCTTTGCAGGATTCTGCGTGCCCGCGGAGGACGACGTGCCGGATTTCCACGAGCTCGACATCGAGCGACAGTTCCACGAGCTGAGCGCCCTGAACGACGCTATCTTCATCGACGGATGAGCCTCCTCGGCGGGAGAGTCCCTTCCCTGACGAAGCGAAAGACAGGATGCGATGCGTCGGTGAATGAACGAAAGAATAAACGTTCAATGTAATTTAACGTGCATCTTGATTCGATTAAGATTCGCTGTGCAATTAATCACCAATCCTGCCGATTCTTCAATTTCTATTAAAAAGAATTACGTTTGCTCTTTATATAATTTACGTATTTTTTCTGATGGAAAGAAGAAGCATGAGTGATTCACCGATCATTTACTGACGCGTTCATCCTGCCCTCGCGATCTCACTGTTTCGTTTCTCTCTTTTTACGACTTCTTTTATACTCATTAGTCCGTTGTAATTGACAAATCGCATATATTTTTGTACATAGATACTTATGTATATTATCTTCCTCGTATGCATAGTCGAGCTATTCTTTTGTTTCACAGAATTATATGAAGAAGAAAAACTAATCTCTTAAGCAATTTAATGCATATCGTGTAAACAAGCGTTATGGATTTACGCCCTGATGAAACTTTAATTCTGGCTGCACTCGTTTCAGTTCTTCGTGTAAATCTATAGCGCGTTTCTTAAAAGTTGCGGCGAGCTCGGGATTCTTCTGCGCGCCTTCTCCGCGCGCGTGCATCTGCGACAGGTTTGCGCAGGCATATGGATTGCCGTGCTCGCAGCTCTTCAACGACAACTTATATGCTTCTTTGTAGTTCTTTTCGATAACGTCCTCTATGCCGCCCAGATAGATACCCGATAGGTAGAAACAGGCCTTGTCTGAGTTGTACACGTCGCAGGCCTTCTTCAGGTACCTGACGCCCGCTTGGACCTGAGTGGCCCTATCCTTCTCTCCGACGTCGTTCTTGGACGTTCCCAGGACACCGGCATGCAGACATCCGGACTCGTCATTGAGCTCGCAGCTTTTCGACATGTACTTGTACGCCGTCGGTAAATCCTTCTTGCAACCTTTACCTGCGTGAATAAAAAGAACGTTATGAAGAATATATAATAGAATAATTAGACTTAGATATTCTAGCCCGATCTTATATTTAAGATCTCAAGAAGCTACAGTAGAGATTCTCAATCTTTTTTGTCAAAAGGGCCACATTAAAATCTTTATAATGACCAGGGGTAAGTTTTATTTTTAATAATTATATAAAAATAAAATATGTTTACATTATTTATTATTTACAATTCTTTCATATTATAAAAGTCCGACCAAGTTGCAGAATCAAAATACAAAAATATATAATTTAATACTGAAATTTTTTGGCGAGTCAGATAAAACTTTACAGAGATCAGATTGGGGACTCTTGAGCTATATCGCTTCAATGGCTAAATGGAATCTTAATATTACTTCAGATTAAATGATTTTAATAGCCATACAGTTATTTCATCGGTTTTTTTATGGGATTTTAATATATTTAAAATTAAATTTAAGATGATCTTCAATATAAGATTGGAATACTGCGATTTGAATAATTAAAATAGTTCTGCAATGCAGAACCAACTCTAAAATCTTACTTTTCTGCTAAAGTAAATTTCGCAAATTAAAAATAAAATGCTGTGCCAGCATTATTTCAAATATAACAAACTATCCTCCTCAAATACAATTTTATGTATTATATGTGTTCTTAGAAAATCTGTCTACATGTGAAGTATTAGAGGAACGCGCGTTTGATTCCTTATTGCGTAACTGCATCCATTTCGAAGTCTGCGCCACGACGCCACGATGGACATTCTCGACATCTACCGCAGATGCCGTAACTAACATTGCGAGCGTCTGCTAGAGCACCTCGTGAGTCGTGGCATTTCGTGGCTCTCGTGCTTCTCTCGTTGAACTCACCGATCGCTTTGAAATCGCCGAATTTCGCACAGCTCCTGGCGTAGTTGTACTGATCGCAGGTCGTCTTGTACAACGACGCAGCCTTCGCCATGTCCGCGTTCACCGCCTCATAATAGTCGCCCAGCAAGTGGCACACTGTTCCGAAGCAAAAACGTTATCTTTTAACCGGTTGAGGTTAGATTCTAAACTTGACTCACCCTCCGGTTTTTTCTCGCTGTAGCAACCGAACTGATACTCTATGTGAAGGTTCTTCAGGTACTCCTTCACGTCCTCCTCTTTCTTCAAGTCGTACGCCATCGTCTCGGTCCTCCTATCTCACGTCGTACGCGCGATCGCATAATAACGGAGCATCCGCCATATCAGGAATCAGGATACAGATATACACCTAATACACCTGTTCTCTTTAAAAAAAAACAAGAAGTACGCATCTTTAGCGCCACCTGGAGCTACGATCGCGAGTGAGAGAATCGCGAGAGGAGTCGACTTTTTGCTTTGCGCTGACAGCTGACACTTTGCCGCCAAATTTTGCTGATCTCAATCGAGAAAGTCATCTTGCACGGAGGCCTACCAGCTTTTCTTTATTAGGATTAGTGATTACGTTGGGATAACACGAGTTTCCTCAAAATGACATGTAGGTATATCTGCGTTTCGCACATGCACGAGATTGTGTGCTTTGCAGTCGATTTGTTTTGGTCGTGTATCGTGTACTATCTCGTCGCACTTTCAATACTTTAATAAATAAAATAGATATATATTTAGATTTTCTTTTTTGGAAGATTAAGGGAAACGAAAGGTGTACAAGGTGCAATAGATCTTGTAAACTAGAATGTGCAATAAATCTTGTAAACTCTATGTTACACAAGGTTAAGGAAATTCCTTTGTTCTCTGCTATATTTTATGTTGATTATCTCATTCCAGCGATCGAGATAAAGAATTGGACGCCGGAGTACTATGTCGCAAATCAGTCGGACTGTCAGCAAATTCTGGAAGGTTCAGATGCACTGATGGAAATACCGTTGTTGAACAATGCTCGATTACACGACATCAAAGATAAAGAGTTGGTCAGATTCCGAGGGATGATTCAGGATATGTATAATCCTGAGTATTATTTTAAGCAGTACGAGGTGAAGAACACAGACACAGGGGAGAGTAACATTAGATCCGGGATGTATATGGATGCGGCTCGATGTCTGGTAAATTATCTATCTGTTTTTAATTTTTCTTGTATACGTTAGAAGCCATTTTGTGTGACTCTGTGAAACCACTGAGAAATCCATTTTAGTTGAATCAACTAAATCTTTTGGTTGGAAAATTTTTTGTTATGTTAACCAAATTTTTGGTCAACCAAAAGATTTAGTTGATTCAACTAAAATGGGTTTCTCAGTGCTTGTCAGAAATGTGTTGTCCCTGCTACCACATGAGCAGCGGATAAGAAGCAGAGTCTAGATTAAAGTAACATGCAGATCAGGTGTGGGATGCTATGAGAACAGTTTTTCTCATGTATAAATACTGCATACACATTTGGTGCGTTCGGGAAGACGCTATTAGTGCTATTTGCTTATTCTATCCTTGTTTTACACCTGATGATGAGCGATAAAGATAAAATGATGTAATAGCGCTAATAGCGCGCTTCCCGAACGCAACCATTATCATCATTTCATTTCAATGGCGCAACAGTCCGAGTCGGACCTGGTTCCACCAGGACTGGATTCGAACCTTTGGTTTAGCAGACCAGTGCGCTGTCTGCTACGCCACGCTCGCTCTCAGATATACACATTATCACAGAAACATAATATCTATCGAATGTTCGTCTATAGTAGTGTTTATTAACTTTTATTTTGAGTACAGCCGCACGAAGAAATATCGTTGTATTCCAACAAGAATAAAAACTCAGAGAGACAAACTTACGTTGTGATTTCTATACCTGGGTTAAATGACTGGGCAAAGGAAAAGAGTACGAATACACGGACTTCTGATGCAACGACACACAACAATAGTATCAGTAAAAGGAGTTTGGATGATAATGACTCAGAGGAAATGGATTGCTCGGAACCTGTTACAAAAAAAGAGAAAGTCTCAGATAGTAATGATGTAGACATGAGCAATACAAAAGTTCAAAATATGTTATCAGAAGATCACATATTGAATTTTCCAATTCCAATTGATGGGGGAAGAGCTTGCATAGTAAAGGTAAATTATATTAAATAAAAAAATAGATATATATACATTAAATAAAAAATATATATGATGTATATTTTTCTCAATTGATATTTTCTTAATACTTTTCAGGTTTATGACGAGACTATCTTAAAACTGAACCAGGTTATCGATGTAATAGGATTTATATCGTTGGATCCAATATTAAGTACTATTCATGGCTCAGATGATGAGATGAACGAAGCCGAAATACATACTCATAATCCACCGGCTTCCCTAGTACCTCGGTTACACGCAGTAAAAATAATTGAGCTCACAAAACCTAAAATTTTAAATGCTCCGGAAATAATGTCTAAAGCACAGCTCATCAGGAGTGATTTGCACATAATATTAAGTCAATTACTATTTGGAGATAGCTTAGCTGCGGATTACTTGATATGTCACCTGCTTTCTACAATGTAATTTTTTCTTAATACTTTTACAGAAATATACATCTGAGCGTGTTATTTCTGTAATATTTTATCTTTTGTAATGTTTTTAGATATATGAGGAGAGATTACTTTTGTCTCGGTACATTTCCGTTGAACATAACGAATTTTCCAGCGAGTAAACTCAAGATTTTCCCGAAAGAGTTTTATAATTTTCTAAAATTATTTGTAAAGAAAAGTCACTTTTTGGAGATGACTTTGGAAAATTTGAACGAACTGGCTTTAATTCCGAAGTAAGTTTGTCTCGTTGAATGCACATTGTCAGTATGCACGTATATCACGTATGACGAATATATTCGCATTGTTTTCAGGAAGGATTATGAATGCAATAGATTGACGAGTGGTATTCTTCAATTAAGCAATAATACGCACCTTGTAATAGACGAGACAGGCTTAACCACCGGTACACTTACTGGGACTGGCAAGGAAAATTATAAAGCCCTTTCTGATCTACTTACGTTTCAAAAACTGACGTACGACTTTAAGTATTACACAATGGAATACGAAACAGACATCCCAATTCTAATCTTTTCCGATGTGAAGTCGTTCGTTCCTGTAAGTATTTATTTATAGCATATAAAGTATATTACTCTTTTTCTATGAAAATTAACTAATGAAATGTTCATTTATAGTGTCCCATTCAAATTATTTTAAATGTCGATGCGGATTCGGAAAATTTATATAGTCAGGTAGTTGAAGCTGCACATCAGTATTTGAAAGATGAGAATCGATTGGCGAATATGCGTCAGTACATAGAAGCCTTGAAGGACGCAGAATTCGTTTTTAATGAAGAAATCACAAAAGTATGTCATACTTGCTTGATTCTTTCGACGTTAATATCTATGTTCATTCAATTTACTTTAATGGCTTTGTTTTTTTTAATATATATTTAATTATCTTATATTATTTTGTTATATGTTCAGACTATCCAAGACGATTTTGTGAAGATGCGCAGTGCAAACAAGAATATAGATGCAGACAACCTACACGCATTAATGGTTTTCGCTAGATTAATGTCTTTATCTTATGGACAAACGACGCTAGATATAGAATGCTGGAAGAAAACCGTGCAATTGGAAATGGAAAGAATGAGTAGGCTGCCACAGCGCGGAAGGTAATCGTTGGACCCAGGAAAGAATTATAATACCGAGTATACATCAAATCATGCGATACTAATATTTATTTTCTACGTATCTTTGTAATTATTTCATTAATAATAATAATGTAAAAATTATATACCATTATATCTGTATACATTTTTATGAAATAGGACGAAAGTTCAATAGCCGTTTAATAGCCCATATTCTCCTTGGCGTGCCTCTCATTACGTTCCTTTTGGACACTTCGAAATCCTATCCGGGCGGATTCACCGTACCCCTTGGAATGATCAACTTCAAGTCTCGCTCCTGGAATGTGGCCTGTATAACC